CTACAACATGCCTATAACTCAAGGTTCTCTCGAATTGTCAGATTTTGTTAGAGGAAGGATCCTAGAAATAATTGTTTACATTTTTTCGTGTGTACCTCATGTTATGAGGTAACCTGTAACCAACAAAACAAGGTTCCATAAACAGTTTGGTGCATAAGTAGTTTTGAAAAATGTGTTTAAAAAAGCCAATGGAGTCGATTATTGGTAATTTCACATTAAGTGCAAGTATATTAATTGATAATATAAATTCAGATGTAAACATATTTGTAATAATGATTAATTTTAGATGTTATTTCTTAGAGATAAGAATCTTTAATGAACTTTATTTTTAAAATGATGTATAAAAAAAGAAATTTTTAATTTATAAAAAAACAGTCAACACTTTTTATTTCCACCTTAAATATATTACGGTATGACAAATTTTTATGTCAGGTTTTATAAGTTTCATTAAATTATTTTTGAATTCTAATATTGAAATACCTTTATTTCAATTTTTTTTGTAGAAGCTTTTGTTGTTTGTCAAAACTACTCACCACCAGAGGGTTATGTACCAACAATGGCTAATCCTCTGTTGAATTATGATTGTGGTAAGTAAGTCAAATCAGTAAAGACTATCTTATGTATTAAGTGGGACTGAACTTTTTCATAAAACTTCTTCAGAGCAGAAACTTGTTACCATGTAATATATAGATGATAGTATATTGTATGAGATTGGAAAGAGAGAGGATTTTGCTTAAGAGAAGTGAGTGTTTTTTTTTAAATAAACTACTATTGAAAATAGTTGAATACCTTGCTATTTAATCTAAGTTTATATGTTTTTAAGTTTTACATTAAATATATAAGTTTTTTTTCTGTACAGTGGACTTTGATGAGTTGGAAGGGCCAAACCGTATTATTGTACCCTTCATAGCTTGTGGTGACCTTAGTGGCTTTGATTCTGACCGAACTTATCCTCTAGAGGTAAAACAAAATTGTTCAAATATTAAATTATATAGACATAATTGTGCATATTTTCTATTATATATACTCAAGTCAAAAACAAGTTAAAACTTTCAACATGGTAACAAAAATGAAATTTTAAATAAAAACAAATTACTGACATATAAAACTTATTTATAAATACTTAAAGTACTTTTGTGGTGAGAACAAATAAATAAATAAACCAAAACATTTGGTGCTGATCAAATATACAATAGAATAAAATATTCATTGAAATAGAAGAGAAATATAAGATTACCCAATAAATAAATAAACAAATGAAAAAAGAGGGAAAACAGTACTAGCTTGTGAATAAATTCCATGTTTTCTTTTCTTACTTAAGTATCTTTGTCACCTGTGAAGATATTCATTTGATATTACGATAAACATCCCAGAATTAAGTGATTTATGCTCAGCAATATTAACTTTTAATCTTATAATTTTATTCACTTTTTGTAATGTGCTTTTTCAAAATGTCTTGAGGGGTGAAACTTTGTGTAATGTTAACACATGCATTAAGTTTTAGATTACAATACTTAGTGTAAAGAACTGACAAGCACATTTGGATGACATCACTAACATTCTGTGTAAACTACATAAGTGACCCTAGTAGTAATTAGTGTGAGTAATTGCAGTATTTATGGTATTTTTGTTTACCATAATGTGATTTATGCATTATTAAGAATCATATAACTAATAAAGTCCTGGACCCATAAATGATTTGATGAAAAATGTGTTTAAAAGAATTAATGTGGTTCGTATGGACTCCCTACCAGTAATTCTAGGATTAAGGAATTTTTGACTAATACTCATCCTAAACCTTTGGAATGTTAGTAAACATTTACACTTGTATGGCATAAATCATTTCAAGTCCTTCCAAACTACTAATCTTTAGTTAGTATTAACTAATTTAATTACTATCTAAGTAGTCATAGTTGTCTACTTTTGTACAAGTGCCATCCTGCCATTTATTGGTGTAACGTTATTTGCTTTATACTTACTTTGATCTTACATTTTTCAAAGATAAAAATACTCTGCTGCTCATAGTTATTGCACGTGTCAGTATGTGTTTTTTAATGTATAGTATTTATGAATGTAGGATGTTTGTGCTTGTTAGCCTAATTAGGCCTGTCTTCACAGTTGAATCACCTGTAAATATATTTAGAGTGTAATCTTTTTTTCAGATGTATAAAATAGAATCATTCTTCTCACATTTTTATATCATCTTTTGTTTTAGCTTAAAGAAGGCAAGGAATATGTCTATCATCCTCCAGTTCAAACTCCAATTGATCCACCATATAAGGAAGCTTGCGAGTTAAAGAAACAGCAACAACTAGCAAAACCGGGAATGTCTTCTGGAAAATTAGAGGAGCATAGATTTGATGAATATGTCCCTGTACCAGCTGATACTATAGACAGCAAAGCTTTTCAACTATGTTTCAGATCCCCTCAGGACAATTCTCTCATAAGTCAGGTAGCCTTGAGTACGTGTGATAATATGGAGTCAAGCCTCAGTAGACTAAACCTTGAAACAGACAACTCGTCAAGTTAAGTGTGTGCACAACTATATACTTTAACAAGTATTTTAAATAAATTTTGGTTTTATTTTTTACATGTCAAATTGTTCTTATTGTTGCCAAATTATTAATGAAATAAAATGGAATTTTTATGATACAAAACTGTGTGACTGAATCAGTGTTTTAGTGTGGGTCATAAATTATTAAAGAATTTGAGTAATGTTAAATGCAGAATTAGTTTTTTATAAAAAAAAAACCGCTTATCTCTACATAGTTATCAAATACAGATGTATATATTTCTATTTTATTAAAAGGCTTAACTTTTTTCCTGTTTCTGTAAGAATCTTGACTTTTCATACCTACCCGATAATTGATAGTAAACTGACTACATGGTGATTACAATGTAATACAAACTATATTATACAATATACCTAAAATTATGTTTTCAAACTGTTATTGCTTTTAGTTCTCTTCTTTTACTCTATGAAATTGATGATTTGAATAAGTTGCATGTCAATGTACAAGATATTGAGATGACCAGTGAATACTGTCCAGAACAGATAGTGTTTCATTCATGGATAGACTTAATATGTTGATTGAGAATGACAGGAAAGCTTGTTGAACACCTTCTCTGACAGTTTGTGAAACACTGCCATGTCCAAATTTTTCTTAATGTGTCTGGTAACATTTTGTTCTTCTAGAACAAGTAGTTTTAAATATATGATTGTTTTAAATATGGATTTTTTTTTATAAAGCCAATTTGTATTGTTTTTAAATAGCTTAGAAACAATAAATAAATACTTGTGTATTACTGACCTTGATCGACCTTCACGTAACTAGATTATATTTAGGGTTACTTTTTGGTAAAGGAAATTTAAGTAAGAAAGTATTATCAAAGTATTTGGGATCATTACATTTATCTATTTTACTGGATAAAGAATAGCTTATAATAATAATAATAATTTCCTCAAATGGGGGAAGCCCTTGAAATTGAATGTCTGTGTTATCATGGCCTTGGGACGCAAATTTGAGCCCCCTTTTGTATCATATTACCTGGAGTTAGTGTAAGGAGATGTAAACTCGTTTTCTTGTAGGTACTTCTAGAGGTTCATTGGCAGTGTAGGCCGTAACTCATGATGTCACCATATAGGTTACATCACGCCTGGTGACCAAATTCGACTTGTGTAGGTTAGCCCCGTAACTACACCACATTCACTAGAAGTGCTGTGAAGAACTTATGCACAAAGACTGGGAAAGTCTAGGCAAAAAATGAAACAAAAATTATGTTGCTTTTGAAAGTCACAAGGATTTTAAATTTGATGTATGGAAAAATCAAAATATCCAATACAAACTGCTTCAGTCTTCTTGTAAAAGTTTTTCTACTCACGTTTCACAAGTCAGTACGTATTTAAGATACACCGTTTTTCTAAAAACATTGAATTTTATGTAAACCGTCGATGAGTTTTAAAGCAGTAGCAAGATTTTTCACCTCTCCAGTACTTTGTGATCACAGATACGATGTTTACTACACGGTCCGCGCTTTAAATAGTCACCTATTGGTGTTATTTCTTGGAAAATAATTGTAACTCGGAAATAGCATCACTTTGATAAAAACCAAGTACAGAAACATATACAACTGTTTACTGTCACCTAGGTAATATTTGAAAGGTATAATGTGTGAAAGAACTGGCTGATTCTGTTGTCTGCGCTTTATTTATGCAAGAAACTAATAAATATTACAATTTTAGTAGCATTTTTTTAACATTTGTGTATTTTTGATAAAAATATTACAAAGTAAAACATATTTATTGCAAACATTAATTTTAAATAGCTTAACAAAAGCAACTTATACACAAATGTAACAACCATACTCACAATGCAGCTGAAATTTCAAAGTAATGTTAAAATATTAAAAAGTTACAGTAAATGCAGACTGACACATCACAGTTAACCCCTCTTTAGGCTTAACGTTTTAAAAATTTAACCTTTTTAAGAGGTCTTAGATGTCTGGAACTACAAGAAAATCTAAGTGTGAGAAATGTACACGATATAAAACAAAATGAAACAGTGTAGAGTGACTCGTTACTAATAGAAGTTTGATTTTGATTGCATGTTAAAAGGAATGTATGGGTGTACATTCAAAACAGAGTTAATTTACTATAAGAAATTGTAAAAACCAACAAGAACATAAACATTAAGTGGTTCAAAAAACTATGAGCAGGTAGCGCTGTCATCGCTGAAGATGGTCGATCGTCCGGTTTAGTTAAATCAGTTTCCTTCTCCTTGATTCCATAAGCTTCAATAGTCTCCCAGGAACCAACTAGAAAATGTAAGATAAAAAATAAAATTATGATAATTACCTTCATTAATTAATGAAGTATGTTTATCATAGTGTTGCATTTTTCGTTCCCTGTGTACTATAAGAAAATATGTTTTCTCCATTTTGAAAATGTTAACTCCCGACCAATAATCTCGAACCAACAGCTCGTATTACAAACTGTGAATTTTAATTTTTACAAACGTATAATTAGTTGCCATTTAAGGATTTTAAATAAAAATAATGTAGATATGTGTGAACTTACCCAGTCAGTGTAACTTGGACATAGGAAATGGTAATAATGATTGAGTCTATTTTTACATATCACGAAACATTTGACTCTGCTGATCAGTTAATGTTGCAGCCGAATGTAAATTATACAAGAATCAAACTGCGTGAAGTAAAACACATCAACGAAGTTTGGGGTGAAAGTAAATTGTAGAAACAACTGGAAATTTCGAATCATTTTTATCTCGCAGTCGGTTAATTTTTAGAGGTGTTCGATATATTTTTTCTGATGAAATAGGTAAGAAACGTGCGTATTAGAACACTGCAAATATGACTTGGATCATAATAAAATCATTGAGCATTCGTTACGAACGGCAACTTTAAGAACATACTTAAAGATCCGTTACTTACACTGACAGACGGGATATCGGAAGCTATAACGTAGTCAGTGTTCTAAACCTTCGAAAAACTGTTAAAATCGTTTAATAAGACACTTACCGCCTGTTCTTCCGGGAAAATCGCCAGGTGATAACAGTGGTCGTGCTGGAGTGCTAGTTGTCTTCGCATTAGCAGCGTTATTTTCCCTGATCTCATCAAGAGGTAGCGGTACAACAGATGTATCCGGTCTCATAAGTGGAGGCGAGTGATACACCTCAGGTTTCTCAAATTTGAGCATTTTACCTGATCGTGCTGAATTATTTTTCATTTCAGTTGTACTACCAGTTGTGGTCTGAAGTGTCACTTCATCTGACGTTCCGTCAGGAATGATTTCGCTGTCTCTCTCAGATTGGTCAGACTTGATAGTGTTGTTAATGTCTGTTTCATGTGCATAAACTAAAAAAAAATAGTAGGGTAAAGGTTAAGTGGAAAACGTCTCGCAGCGTAGCTCGACTTCAATACGTTAATCTAAGTCACTGGTGTTGTCATGTGTGACGGGAAAAAACTTAAATAACAACTTCGTATGAAAAGGCAGATTGTCTGTACGGTTGGTTGCTTTCTTCGAAAAGAAGCGTTTTCAAAAAACAAGAACTGATTTAAAAATAAAATACTGTATTGAATATTGCGCATTATCTGTTATTTTCATCAGTAATTAATTTCACTAATATTATTCTAGATATAATAACACATTTTTCCGACAATCATGGACAGTTTTGTTAGCCTGGTTTCTAGTTGTATTTATTGGAAGAAGTTATGTTAGTGTAGAAAACTTAATACAATTGAGTTAGAATTTACAAATACCGACAGGATACAGACATGTTTCACTTACCATGGCCTGAATTTTGACTCGTACCGAAGACTAGGGCTAGAATCATGAACCAGGTTAACAGTGCGATGCGGTGCAACCAACTATATCTTCGAGACATATGATTCAAGAAACTCATTGTCCAAAGTTTATCCTTGAAATTAATTGACTTAAACTATATGATGATCTTGTGGAATATTTTTATAACATTTCACCTCTGAAAAACACCGTAAGTAGTTGTGTTTATGATGCAGTACTAGTTGGTTCCCCTCTTTAAAACGAAGAAAACGTGATGTTTATAACCCACAAAACCGACGTACAACTCAACTTCGCAAAGATTGATATCTTGTAAGTCTTCTAAACTTAAACAACTGAGAAAAAATGTGGTACGAGCAGTTTACATTCACAGCTCTACTATCTGTACTAGAAATCTAAGAGAGATTTACAATTATTCACTGCCTTCTAATGAACGACACTTATGACTAGGCAAAAGTAAACACAGCCAACAGGAACGAAATGGTCCACCGTATACCTGAACAGGTAGGTACAAAATACTGCGTAGCCTTACAAGTCGCTTGAAAACCTGCCAGTAAATGCTCCTTCCACGCACGGAGTACTGGTAACGCTTTACTCCTCCGCTTTGACCTCGTGAAGTTGTACACCGCCTAGGACTCGCATGGTTTCACTGAACTTCCTGAAACTCTTCCTGACCTAGCGACAGAAAGACATCTTACAGGAAATCGTATTCTATAACTATTTGGTTATTTCCTTAATTAATTAATAAATATAATTGAATAAAAATTGAGACTTTGTTTAAACTTAAAAAATACGCGGGAAGATTTACAGTTAAAGGGACACATATAATGACTTTTCAACGTCCATAATTACTTTCTAAAGTGGATTATTTATATAGTATTGAATAAACAGTGAAACTTTCAGATTGTTTGAATGTAGAAAAATAAATTGAAAGAAATTTACAGACATGAGCAGTTATAAGTGAATTGTTTGTTTTTGAATTTCGCGCAAAGCTACACGAGGGCTATCTGCGCTAGCCGTCCCTAATTTAGCAGTGTAAAACTAGAGGGAAGGCAGCTAGTCATCACCACCCACCGCCAACTCTTGGGCTACTCTTTTACCAACGAATAGTGGGATTGATCGTCACATTATAACGCCCTCACGTCTAAAAGGGCGAGCATGTTTGGTGTGATGGGGATTCGAACCCACGACCCTCAGGTTGCGAGTCGAGCGCCCTAACCACCTGGCCATGCCGAGCCAGTAAGTAAATAAAACGCATCATATCATATGATAATGAAGTATGATTGTGAAAACCTATGACTTCTTACAAACTGGCTACCGTTCGGAGTTCGATCCTTGCGGTGGGCACAGCGTAGATAGTCCAGGTCTGAGCCTCTAACAAATCAAACAAACGTACATTGTGTAAATTTACTACATCATATATTTGATTATGGGGTGTATAAACCTACTTTAATCTGGGAATGACAACCTGCCTTCTGAAAACAGGTGTTCTAAAATTTCTTTAGTCGCGATTGTTGTCATGCGTGCTTTCTAACTGTCGTTACGATATCTGTTCAAATACTTGTTTTACAAACACTCCGGTAGATGAAATTGAAGTAATGATAATTTTTAAATGTAATATTTGGCAAAAATGTACAGGTAAACACACCACATTTAAATGACTTCGACGTAAACTAACGTTATGTGCAGAGTGATCAATTTTGAAGTGACATGTAGACACAGTTTTGTAGTTAAATTAATGCAATCTATTTTTAATTCAATACAAGCACCGTCTAATA